GAGAGAGAGAGAGAGAGAGAGAGAGAGAAAGAGAGAGAAAGAGAGAGAGTTTTTGAGCGAGTGAGCTGGTCCCCAGAAGAGGGTGACCAATCACCTTGAGTTCTAGGCTGTTGTGAGCTTCTAGAAGTGGGTGCTGGGAACTCTATTCTGGTCCTGTCTCTGACAGAGCAGCAAGCATGCTTTAACTGCTCAACTATTTCTCTAGTTACTGAGGGGAAGCACTTTTAAAATGTAAAAAAAGCCAGGAGGTGGTGGGGCACACCTTTAATCCCAGCACTTGGGAGGCAGAGAGGGGCAGGAGGATCTCAGTGAGGCTGAGGCCAGTCTGGTCTACAAAGAGTACAAGGACAGCGAGGACTGTTAAACAGAGAGACCCTGTCTCCGAAAAACAAAGCAAAACAAAAAAAAAAAAACCCAAACGAACAAAAAAGGTAAAACAAATTATGTATGTGCTACTGATCATACAAAACAAATTCTATACGTTGACTACAAGCTCTGTAATGTTTGTGGCTTCACTTTTCAACTTCATTTCATTGTCTATTCTCCACTTGCCTTTTTAAGTCGTGGATACGGGACTCTCGTGCTTTTAGTCTGGCAGGCTCTCCCTCACCCAAGCCCTCTCCACTCTCTCCCTCCTTTAATGTCAAGACATCTTCTCAAACTGCGGGTATCCTTTTAAGTTCATATTCTGGGAAACTGTTTCTTAAATTATCTTGCGTATGATATGTTCTTCTAAGAGATCTGTCTTTACTTACCTTACCATCGTGTGTTCTTACCTGGCTGAGTGCCCAAAGGCAGGGACTTTGCTACTTTGGACTGAGGACCTGCACACTCAGTGGGCCGTGAGTGAACCGTCATCAGACATCACAATACCCCCCCCCCCCGGGCCTGCAGGTTGGCCCTCATAGAAGAAATTATTACGAAAGAGTATTTCACCACAACGCGTAATAGTTCTAGATTTACAAAATTAAAGTAATTAAAAAAGAAAAAATACAATTAAAAATATTTGAAAAGAAAAAACAGAATTTAAAGAGAAACAAAAAAATCTTTTTTTGAGCCGACGCCTTTAAAGCCCGGCAACTCGGGAGGCAGAGGCAGGCGGATGTCTGTGAGTTCGAGGCCAGCCTGGTCGACAGAGCGAGTGCCAGGACAGCCAGGGCTACACAGAGAAACCAAAAGAGGAAAAAAGAAAAAAAAATCTTTTTGAAAGTTTAACCATCGCAGTAGGCGAACCTCTGACCGCCTCGCGCAGGCGCCCGCAGTGGCAAGACCAGGCGAGGGACGACGTCGTGGTGACACCGTCACGTGACCGCACGGCGCGCCCCTTCGACTGCGCCTGCGCCTGCGCAGGGGCTCCCGGAAGTGGCCGGCCTGAAAGCGCTGGCGGCTCAGTCCGTCGGCCCGTCGGTCCGCTCGTCCGCTGCCGGTGCTGAGCGCGCCTAGGCCGTCGTCGCTGTCCCTCCGTGTCTCCGGCCCGAAGCGGCGGCCGGGCGCTCACCATGTCGTCGTTCATCTGGGTGCAGCTGAAGAAGACGTCGGAGGTGGACCTGGCCAAGCCGCTGGTGAAGTTCATCCAGCAGACGTACCCGAGCGGCGGCGAGGAGCAGGCCCAGTACTGCCGTGCGGCCGAGGAGCTGAGCAAGCTGCGGCGCACGGCGCTCGGCCGCCCGCTGGACAAGCACGAGGGCACGCTGGAGACGCTGCTGAGGTGGGCGCGGGCCGCGGGGGCTCCCTCCCAGCGCCCCGGCTTCCCACCCTCGGAGTCCCTCCCTCCCCGCCTCGTCCTTCCCCTCTCTCCCCAGCGCTGGCCTCTCCTCTCTGACTCAGGCCAGCGGCGTAGGTGTGGTCAGCGTTCTTTCCTGGTGAGAGAGGACTTGCCACCCTGCTCCCCCTTCCGGGTGGCCGCTGTCACCTAGGGAGCCTTCCTTACCTGGGAGGAAGTCAGCCACGAAATGGTCTCTCTGGTCACAGCCGTTTGACTGGTTTTCACTTTCTGAGTCTGAAAACTGAAGACTCCTTTTTTTTACAGTCGCTGTTTATGATTGATTGTGTTGGGCCACTTCTAGATTTCCTAAGAATAGTTGCCTGAGGGAAGTGGGAGAATTGGATCCCTGGGCCAAATGTCGGTTTTTCATGATGTTGTTCCCTTGGAATAAGTCATCTTAAGTTCAAAATAATCGAATGACAGTTGTAAAAGTTAGGAGCTACAGTCATTTGAAAGAAAACTCAGAGTGGGTTCCTTAAAATCTGTTGGTTGGTTGTGTGTGTGTGTGTGTGTATGTGTGTGTGTGTGTGTGTGTGATTGTGCGTGTGTGCGCGCGCGCGTGTGTGCGCGCGCCGACATGTAGAATACATTGGTTCTTTTTGCAGTTGATGAGAACTCTGGTATTTAACGATGACAACATTTCTGTGGTACCTGATGATCCAGTTTCCTGTAATACCATCTCCTTGTTTCATGCAAGAGGCGCTGGTGTATTAGGGTGCTAGGTGCAGAAACCCTGATTTAAGTAGCTTAAGCCAAGATATTCTGGAGATGTCTGGAGACATCCCTTTCTTAGATTTGGCATCAATAGAGATCATCTATTGATACTTATACCATGATGCTTATTCATAGGTGAGCTTTGTGTGTCGAGAGATGGCCACCGTCGGATCTTACCATACTATAATGGCCCACAGCACCGAGTAAACTGTTGGAAGCCTATGGAGGCTTCTCTGCTTTGGTTGGACTGCATACATTAATGATCTGGGAAATGGGCCAAGTTAATGACCTTTGTGTAGGTTACCCAGTTGGTTTAACTTCTCTGCTCTCCATGGATGAAAGAAAGATTAATTTTGCATGGGGAAAGAGTGGTTCCCCAAAGGAAGAGATAGTGGATAGGTTGCTCAGAGATTCTGAGCCTTTGGTGTCAATATTAGAGCTAAGACTGTTGGATTGCAAAGATCATTAGTCTGATAGAATAAGCACTTTTTAAGGTAATGAAGGAATACATGACCCTTTTTTAGAATTAATGTAAAAATTTCATGCAGACACCAGTAACATTCAGTGAGGTGTGCTCCCCACTGCTTTGAGACAGGGTTTTGTGTATCCCTGGCTGGTCTCAAGTTCCTGTTGTAGCTGAAGATGACTTTGAACTTCTAATCCTCATGTTTCCACCACGATCTGTTTTCAGGGTGATGGGATTTTAACCCAGGGCTTCATGCATGCTAAGCAAGCACTCTGCCTACTGAGCAATATTCCCCCAAAGTAGTTGTTGTGACATTGGGTATTGAATTAATGGACTCATGCATGCTAGCCACCACTGAGGTACACTCCCAGACCCTTAAAATATTTAAAAAACTTATTTATTTATCTAGTGTGTGTGTGTATGTGTGTGCATGTACACACACCTATGCACTACTGCACCCCATGCTGTGTATCTTTCCTACATGACACTTGTGTTAGGTTCAGCATTATTCGATAGTTCCCCAACTACCAGTAAGTTAAATTAAGATTTTATACAGTTAAAAAAAAAAGTTGGTATAGATAGTTCTGTTGGTCCAGGGGCAGTGGTCCTGTCAAGTTCAGACTTTGGTCCTTGCTCTCATGGCCTTGGTTGCAGTTGTACCCATGATCTAGATCAGTGGTTCTCAACCTTCCTAATGCTGTGACCCTTTAATACAGTTCCTCATGTTGTGGTGACTCCCATAACATTATTTTGTTGTTACTTCATAACTGTAATTTTGCTACTGTTATGAATCATAATGTAAGTATATGATATGCAGGATATCTGATACATGACCCCTGTGATAGCAGTCGCAGCCCACAACACTGTTCTTAGATAGTAGGATAGAGGAAGAGAGAAAGGTTGAGAGTCCAGGGTGTTTTCTGGAATCTGCCCTGCATCCGTATGGATCACTGGCCGTTATGTGCGCCTGCATCTCACTGACAAGTGCCTGGAGGATATTTTATGATTTAACTGTGTGTACTCAGAGCTGCAGGTTCTTATGGTCGGGAGAACTGAGGAATGCTGGCACCCCGTTCACGATGCCTGGTATGCCCAACCTGAAGCTGTTCATGCTCAGAGTCTGAGGGCCTGGGAGTGAGTTAGTTTGTTTCTTAAGCTACCTCTCTTCAGTGGATGGAACTCCCGCCTGCCTTATCGGTGGTCCATGCTTAACTCAGTTCTGTGCTGGCTGCTCTGGTAGATTTGGCTTCTAACTTTGCCTCCCTTCTTGGTCAGGTTTCTGCATCTTCTGCTTCTTCCATTTTAATATTTTCAAACATTTTGTTGAATGCCTTTTTCCTTTCCAATCCCCCTCCTCCCCCTGGGTTGCTGGGGATTATCCCAGAATTTTGCCCACTGCTGTTGGACATGTTCAGACTCTTTTTTTTTTTTTTTTTAAACAGGAGACTCAGCTCTTCAAAGTGGTTGGGTCATTTATGTTCCCATAGTCAGGTTCTGAGTTTTTCTCCCTCCACATCCTTGGTGGTCCTTGTTGGCCAACAGTTTGAATTATTGCTGGCAGTTGAGCTGGGGTTGTCAGGTAGCATCTGTTAGTGTGCCAAGGGAAGCTTTATTACATGTGTGCTGGCTACTCAGTACCTTTTTCTAGTGTCCATTTTCCTGTCAGATTTTTCTTTACTGATTTGTAAAATGGTTTTCTGAATGCTGTATTTTTCCAATGCCCGGTCAGTTTTGCATCTTCCTTTTAATTGTATTTATCCTACCTTTTACCTCACGTAAGTTCTCCCAGAATGTTCTAGTCTCATAATCTGTAGTTCCATTTTTGTACATTTTGAATGTTAAGCTTGCAATATATATTCTTTCCCTCTGATGAGACTTGCTCACTGTGTAAACCCTCCCTCCCCTCCTTCTCCCCTTTCTTCCACTTGGTGTGCAAATCAGTCAGGGCTTTTATTTCTAGGCCAGCACTATAACACCAAACTGTATTCTTGTCTCCTTTTAGAAACAAAGCCACTGTTTTGTTGTGTCCACCTCTTCTCTCAGTCTACATTGACTGCATCCTTCTGCCTTCGGTGTATGAGTCCTTTTTTCTTTTCTTTTTTTTTTTTTCTGAGACAGGGTTTCTCTGCATAGCAAGTTCCTGGCTGTCCTGGAACTTGCTATGTAGAGCAGGCTGGCCTCGTACTCATAGAGATCTGTCTGCTTCTGCCTCTTGAATGTTGGCATTAAAGGTGAGTGACACCACACCTGACAGATGATATTCTTTTGTTCTTTTTCTATTTTTTATAATTCTTTACAGATGATATTCTTAATAAACATCTTTTGTATAGTGTTAGTAGTTTGTAGTTAGTAGTTTCAGGGTTTTTTATGGTATTTATTTATTTGTTTTTCTTTTTGGCTTTTCAAGATAGCGTCTCTCTGTGTGTCTCTCGCTGTCCTGGTACTTGCTCTATAGAACAGGCTGGCCTTGAACTCAGGAGAACAGCTTACCTCTGCCTCTCAAGTGCTGGGACTAAATGCCTGGCTTCAGTTTTGCTTTTTAAAATTGAGTCATTTTAGATAGATTTTGTAAAAACTTGAAGCTCATGGGGGCTGGTGGATGGTCAGGCATCCACCAGCTGCTCTTGCAGAGGACTGGATCTGCCGTTCCCTGCACCATGTAAGACTGCTCACAGTTGCTTGTAACTCCAGCTCCAGGGGATTTAGTGTTTCTGGCCTCTTGAATGAACAAATGAGCATGCACATACAATCTCACAGGCATACACTTAATTAAAAACAATAAACTAAATCTTAAAAAAATGAAGCTGATGGACCTAGTTTTGTAATGTCTTAAGCATTTTCCAAACACTTATGCTTTAACTGTTAAGAAAGAAAATGCTGTGATTCCATTTTACTTCATAACCATTGCTTACATTTGGATTATTGGTTTAGGAGTAGAGAAGTAATTGTGATACTATTACACTAATGATACTGCTATTGTTGTGTGTTAGAGAGAGAATATGGATATGGATAAATATGAGTATGGATATGTGTGTAGGTCAGAGGACAACCTCCACCTCATTTCAGACAGGGCCTTTGTTCAGTGCGGGATGGGTTTGCTGCTCTGTTAGGCTCCTCTAGTCTCCACTTTCCAGGATTACAGCCACAGGCACAACTGCTTTTGGCTTTTCCATGGGTTCTGAGGATCAGAACTCAACTCATCAGGCTTATGTGGAGTCACCTCCCCATACCCCAGAAATACTTGAAAAGATTCCAGTGTTTGTTTATGTGTGTGTCATGTGTTGGGTGTCTGCAGAGCTCCTAAGAGGACCTCTGTTAGCTGGAGTTAAAGGTGGTTGTGAGCGGCCTGAAATGGATGCCAGGAACTGAACTGGTGTTCTCTGAAGAGTAGCCTTAGCCTTTGAGCCATCTTTCCAGCCCCTCCAAAACACTTTTAAGATTAGAATTTGCCCTATATCTGATATTTTCAAAGAAACATATTAATGGCTAGTTTTTCACCTATGGGATTTCTGTTCTCAGTAGTGTGTAGAATAAAAACCCAGTGAGGTCCCTGCTTATGCTAAGTGTGTGCTCTATTGAGGCAGATTTTAAACTCCCATCAGTGTTTTAAAATGAATTTTCTTTAACGTGCCCCAATTTCGAAAAATAGTAGGGAACACCTAAAAGCACTAAGGTGCAGTCCTATACTGCTTGTTGCTACAGTTACCATGTGTGGGTTGTGTATCTAACCACCATCTCAAGCACTTAGGCATATTGTATCATT